TCTTGCTCTATCAGGTAATAAGACTCGAGGATCTGATGGTTTCCCATTATTTTTCTTCCAAAAATTTTGGAGTTTGACAAATATGAAACTGTTGGAAATGGTGTGGGATTTCATGAGGAGGGGGGAGCTACTTAAGGGGGTCAATTCCACGTACATCGCTTTGATTCCAAAAAAAAATGTTATTGCTAATCTTGGTGATATAAGACCCATTTAGCTTGCTTACTAGCGTATATAAAATTGTGGCAAAAATTTTAGCAGAGAGACTAAAAGTGGTACTACAGTTGGTTGTATCAAGCCCACAATCAACTTTCATCCAAGATAGGAATGTATCCATTTTGGAGTGATTAGCCAAAATCCAGGGGCTGTAAAAAAATTAGACATGGAGAAATCGTAAGATAGAGTTGAATGGGGTGTTCTCCTAGAAGTTATGAGGAAGATTCGGTTTGGGGAAAAATGGAGGAGTTGGATGTTTAGATGTTTATCCTTGGCTCACTTCACTATTCTTTTTAAGGGCAATCCCACTGGTTTCTTTAGAGAATCTAGGGGTTTAAGGCAAGATGACCCATTTTCACCCTTTATTTTCACTCTATATGCTAATTGTTTAGTCTGATGATTAAAAATACTAAAGGGAGAGGGTATTTCAGTTGTTTCCTAGTTAGGGATTATGGAATTCAAGTTTTGTATTTACAATATGCGGATAATACCTTGCTTTTTTGTGATGCAGATCTTTCGCATGATAGTAATATAGCCACCTTTTCCAATATTTGTGAGGTAACGATTGGATTGCAAGTCAAGTTTAACAAAACTTCCTTGATTGGCATTAATTGTGAGGAAGGGGTGGTACAAGGTTTACCGGGGGCTTTGGGCTGTAGGGTGGATAAATTCCTCATCACTTATTTGGGGTCGCCAATTTCAAAAAAAAGGTTAACTATTTCTGCTTGGGATACTATCCTCCACCGAGTCCAAACCAAGTTGGACCTATGGAAGCTTAAATACTTATCTTTAGGAGGGAGGGCTACTCTGCTACAATCATTCTTGACTAACCTACCCATTTACCATATGTCAATCCTTTCGATTCCTACAGCTGTTTGTAAAAAAATAGAATGGATGATGCGTGATTTCTTGTAGGGCTCATATGGTGATGATAGAAAATAACATCTTTTGAGATGGGATAGAGTTTGCACCCCAAAAAGTTAAGGAGGTTAGGGATTCGAAGAGTTAAAATTGTTAATCGGATTCTCTTATGTAAATGGTGGTGGCAGAGTCTCCTCTTTAAGGATCAGTTATGGTTTAAAGTTTTGGCTGCAAAATACAGAGTGGTCAGATATGGCATGAGGTCAGGAATACGTATGAGGGTGACTGGGTCTTCCTTTTGGAGACCTATTTCTCTTTGCAAATCATTCATTGATAGAAGCATCAGATGGATAGTTGGTAATGGCTCTCACATCTCCTTTTAACACCATAAGTGGGTTGGGCATTGCCTTCTAAAACTCTTATTTCATGACTTATTTGAGAAGGTAACCAACCAAATGCCAATGTTGCTGATATTTGTGACGGAGTGCGTAACCATGTCTTCTGGAGTGTGAGTTTACCATATAACATATTGAATGATGAATTTATAGAGAAACTTAGTTCTCTTCTAGACATGCTATAAGGGGTATATATACTGAATGCCTCGGATGATGAGGTTATATGGGAAGCGGGAAGTGATGGAGTGGTTTAGTTAAATCTTGTTACATATTACTCTTTCATGACCGGTGGAGATGGGTAATGCCACAGTTGGCACAGATCTGGAAATGGCCTATACTTCATAAAGCCCAAATTTACATTTTGCTTACAACACAAGATAAGATTTTCACTGTTGATAATCTTATCAAGAGAGGTAAAATACTTCCAAACATTTGCTTGATGTATGTAAGGAAGATGTTGAATATAGGGCTCACCTTTTTCTTCACCGCATTGGTTTTTGGTCGTTATGGGTATTAGCAGGTCGCTGCCTCAAGATGTCGTCGATATTTTAACAAATTTGTCCATACCCAGTTTGCCAACGGATGGAAAAGCTATTTGGATGATAGCCATGGGTGTGATTATGTAGGAAATTTGGCTGGAGCAAAATAGGTGTACTTTTGAAGGGGATTGCCTCCCCTTTGAAAGGGTGCTTCTCAAAATCAAGCAATCCTTATGGTGCTGGTTGGCTATAACAAAGGAAGGATATGGAATATTAGAGGTGGATGTTATGATTCAACTCCACAATTTAATCTCTTTAGGTACGACTCGGAACAGGCCAAGGACTGTTTAGTGTCCACCTGATTCAACTCCACAATTTAATCTCTTTGGGTCTGGCTCGGAACAGGCCTATGACTGTTTGGTGTCCACCTCCCCTTAATGTGCTTAAGTTACTTTTGATGGGAGTTCACAAGGAAACCCTAAAAGGGCAGGTATAGGGGGAGTGGTTCGTGACTCCAATGGTCTAGTCCTTCTCTCATATGCAGGTTCGCTTGAAGATGTCACTGCTAACTTGCTAAAATGGTAGCTATTCTACAAGGTTTAAAACTACTTGAATCCAATTTTGTTGTATATTGAGGGGGATTCACATAATGCTATTAAGTGGTGCAAGAAGGAGAAAAGGGTCCCCTGGGAACTCAAATCTCTCTGGCTTCAAATTCTCGATCTGGTGATAAGTGGTCATCTACTTTCCAGCATGTTTTTAGGGAAGCTAACTGCTTAGCTTATCCTTTACCCAAAGGGGGAGTGACGTTACCTTCCCTTTCAATTTTGAATGATGTAATCCTATTTGGGTAGCCTTTTTTTATTAATAATAATTTATGCTCTTTGTCAAAAAAAAAGAAAATGCGCAGACATATGTACACCTTGCAAAACAAGTAGGGAAAGCTTCGTATATGACTAATCATACGTGACCCAACTTCTCAACTGATCAATCTAAAGGGACGGCTACGATTCGTAATGTCACACCAAAATATTGTCTATTTTTAGTTGTTCTTTTAGAAAACCTTTTTGGGTGAAACTTGGGGTGTCTTATCCTCTTATTGAACGCACCTAGAAAAAATTTTAAAAAAAAATCTTGAAAATAAATAATCAAAATGCCAGGGATAGTTTTAGGGGTATTGTGGTAATTTATATCACAGGAAATATATTTTGTTATTTTCATCATGTGCACCCCTGTCAGATGTATGCATGCCATAAATTTCATTGCAAAAGAATTTATTATAGTAAAACATTAAAAATAAAATACTTTGAGATGTCGAATCAAGATCTGATGTTCAAGAGTCACCCTATGACATTGTGACTCAAGCCTTTGCAACCATCTACTCAGATCTGGCGGCTGAGAGCAAGGTTCACATATATGTTTTATATGGGTGGGTCACATGTAAAGCTTTCCCCAACATGTAAGGACATATACTATTATAAGTTGCTCTTTGTTGTATGGTACTAGACTATTACAACTTTAAATATTATGAGAGTTTGAAGTCATTCCAATGGTGGCCGTTGAAGAAATGAGACATGCTTCAGGTTTATCACTCCCTCAGTTGAGCATGCTTCAGGTTTATCACTCCCTCAGTTGAGCAATTTCAAAATTTGGTGATGCATTTAAAACCCTAGTTATTCATTCAATCATTTTCGCTAATGTTACTCACCCTGGCCTCAGTTATGCACTTTGACTATAGTTATGCCGGTTTGATTATAATTATAAAGTTCTGACTACGGTAAACATAATACCCAAGATCAACCGAGAGTAGGCCTTCAGTGACCAAAAAGCCAATAGAAACGATTACCAATTATTGCAAATTATACTTCATAAATTTTGGGGCTCTTGCCAATTGAACTCAGTTAACATTTTTTAAGTACTCTACTAAACAAAAAAGCTTGTCCTTCATATTCCATTAATCATCATTTAGGGCTGTCTTTGTACTATCTGAATAAAAAGTCTTCCACCTGGTGATGCAACTATGGCATAGTCTGGAAACATGGCCTTAAAGTCGTCGTCATCATAATCATCATCCAAGCTCTATCTCAATTATTTGCGGTAGACTACATGAATCGTATTCCTTTATTCTTCTCTATATGTTCAGGATTCATGACAAGATGTAGCAAATTTTTAAGATGGCTGACTACTTAATGCAACCCACTTCCTTTACCCAAACTTAGGATGTGTAAGGGAAAGTTTAAGGTCCTCAGCCATATTACATCCTAGAGTCATTAAAATAATAAGTGTATGCCAAGCTATAGCCCAAGGGCCATTTTTCACCCAACCCAATGTATTGCAACTCTTTTAGAGACAGAAATAGAGAGCCCATACACAAGAGGGCAGCATGGCTGCTGGAGGTTGAATAATACCCACCCTACCCATTCCTTGGTTACCTTTTATCAAGGCATTTTTGGGCCATGAATATGGTTGGATCATTGATGAAGTAGAGCATTTGCTGTCATGGACAGTTAAAAGTAAAAGCGAACTTCGAACGTTGCAAATAGCATGAAAGTGGAAAGCTCCCACTTCATGTGACATTGCAAGGTATGAGAGTCTAATACATGGAGGCACGTGCTAGTTTTCAGAACATACAAGGACGATATAAATCCTCAAGAACTCATCCTCTATTCGTTGGCTGAGAATCTCAAAATCTTAGGCCCCTACATTAAAAAACGCAAAAGTTTTGAATAATTGAAGCATGTAGTTCTAATAACGAAGCAAAACTGCCATTCACTGGCAATCTTTCGGCTGATCGAACACCAAATATTCACATAAAATAACCAAAAATAAGTGATCTAGCTTTCTTTTGGACTCTATCTTCCAGAAGCCTGCTAACATTAATGTGTGAATGAGTGCTAAAGAATGGGTTTACTAAGCTGTAACCAGAAAAGTGAGCAGCTCAAGCTTATGGCAAGGTCACTCAATAATGGCAACCTCGACGCACAAATGGAGCACACCATTAATGAAGAAGGGGCTATCATCCGTCATGAACTTGGACCTTGGTGAAGGTGTGTCATTGAGAAATTTGGATCTGATAAATAAAATTGAACTTAACCTTAACGCTACCTGAATCTATGCCCTCGATTCCCAAATTGAGAAAAAATGAATGGGAGCTTGTCTCTTGATCCTTCAGGCATCTTGCGCAAACATAGAACTTTTTGTCACTTAGATGAAATCGGTTTGAGTATATCCTTCTCTTTGGAAAGAGGGAAGCACATTCATCACACCGCAGATTAAACAACACAATGCATTCATTATGGGGTGTCTCCAACTCCACCACCTTCACAGGATGGTATTTGCACATGCGCTCGGCCATAAGAGCCCGTTTTTTTTCCGGGGCCTCTGCCTTAAATAAAAACGCATCCAACACCACCTTTGAGATGAGCCCACATTCCAAGTCTTCGCATTTGAGGATTTCTTTGAGCATGTGGTTCGTCATGTAAGGGAATCTGATGAGGCGGATGATTTTTGAGCCAAGGATCTCACATCGCTCTTGAAGCTTAGGGTATTTGGCACGTGCCCACTTAAGTTCAAAGTTAAACACCTCGTCCTCTGATTGCAATAGTAGCTTCTCACTCAATAACAACTGCTCAATGGCCAGCAGAGATAGAGAGATCAACTCCTCATCGTTGTACCTGTTGCCAAAAGCACAATACATTGCAGCCAAAACAGTGGGGAGAGGATAAGAACTCCAAAAACTAACTCGATACAAAATCACCAAATTAAGACTCTACACGTTCTTCCATGGGATAATTGGTGCTGTATCTTGCATCTGCACTTTCTCTATGTTTCAAAGCCATCAAGACCCACATGGCATGGATTGAGTAATAAATACACACAAGCAGGTAGTACAATGCCTATTTTGGCCTTGAACCACCAAGAATTTTGTATTTTTTTGTGGGGGGGGGGAGGGAGGAGGGCTGTTTAGACTCTTCAATGTTTTTCTAAAAAATTTACTCAAATCAATTGTATTTGGAATGCTGATGCACCCTAGTTTTAGGCTTTACTGCACACTAAAAGGAGTCTGCTTCATGTGCATTTCCCAAAATGAGAAACTAAAAATTTTCTCGCTTCAAGTAAATTGAGATCATCAGTTTACCAATTGGAACAGATATTTTCAACTTCAAACTTGAATAACGCTGGAAGTGGGACACTTCCCTATAAAAACCAAAAGCAATACAGTTCTCGCATTTCGACAGTACCCAACCATCTTTGCATACAGTTTTTAGGATTCATACCATGACACTAACAGTATCCGGTAGCTATCTACAACACTAGAGGAGGCAATAATCCAAAAGTGGGACCCAGTAGAACAAATAATCACAAGACCAAATCCAGTAGCACACAATGCCTGGCCCGACAATGCCTGACGATCATCACTAATGACAAGAACTTTTAGGGTTCATAATTTTAACCTCATTAAAATTTACCAGCAATGTCCATAGGATATGAAGGTCCAAACACTAGACTCCATCGTTACTAGTGATTTTCATCAATGCTCAAATGAATAATATCAAAAAGGAGAGAGAGTAGAAGATTGATTCACAAACAAGATTTTCTGCACCAGAAGAAAACTCAAGGCACTACTGCACCAGAAGATGATATACAAGTTTGGTTTCAATGTCAGGCATATTACATACATTAGGGACAAGTGGGATAAGAAGAGAGGGGTAATACTAAATGTGATTAACCCATTCTTAATTTTCCCTTTGAAAGAAAACTGGTGAAGGCCAACACTCACAAGAAGCTCCCAGAAGACCTACTTGGCGACATCCATCGAACTCAAGTCACCATAATGCACAAAAGGACTATAGGCTAACACATTAGACGTCATAGCAGGCCTCCCTAACTCAAAAGCAAGTGAACGACAATATCTTACACTTGATCGTAGCCAAAAGGCTCAGAAAGACATATGATGAACTTGTTCATAAGGAGAAAATGATGGCAACATCACCAGCCAATAATATGTACTAGATAGACATCATTCTTTCGAATCATCAAATGAGTCCGAACAAAAAATTATTGAATTCTTTAAGAAGAAAATAAGCACAGATAATAACAAATATCAATAGACATGCCTTAAAGTTCATTTCTGAAGAGGGGTAGTGAGTTTCGTTGTTCATACAGAGTGCACCTGTTCCTTCTAATGGGATTGAAATTGATCGTAGTACTTTAATACAGTGACTGACATACCACTCAATCCTTTCACATACTGCACATTTTCAATAGTAGAATCCCGGTGACTCTTTGAAGAAAACAGAAATCTTCAATATACCTCGATTGCAGAAAGTCCAGGTCAGGTTAGGTCCTGTCCAGATGCTAGATTAAACAATAATTGTTCTAGAGAACAGGTTTTTTACAAAGCCACATCCACAAGCCCAGTTGTGCAATCACTCCAAACCGATAGTTAATCATGGGTCCTCAAGGACTTTTCAAGAGGTATTCACTACATACACTTCTACTGATTTTTTACAGGATACCTCAGAATAAGATATTTTTATAATTCAAATTGTCGCGATACTTGTTCAACTTTTGCTACTTTGTAATTATCAAACAATTAAACAAAACATTTAAAAAATCAAAATTTGGTTCGTGTTTTGGAATTATTCGATTGGGAAGAGATTTCTCCATCCCCTAAGGCCCCATTTAGATGGACCAAATGTTTTGAACAGCGACCTTGTTTTCCCCCAGCCGAGGAAATAAAAACGGCCCACCTTGGTCCATTCCACTATTCAAAGGTGACGGACTTTTGTCGTGACCTCGCTTATCAACAAACGCCACCCGACACCTCTAACACAATAAATAAAAAATAAAAAATTTCCCCAATTTTTAGATATTTCCCTTGGTTTGTCATAGTTGTTCAAGCCATCCAAATGGGACCTAAATTATTCACAATTTTTTTGTAGCAAAAATAGTTGTTATAGGATACCCCGTATTCCCAAATCTTTCTTTTAATATCAGGTACATCATAAACCATCTTTCTTAAGGACTCCAATTCTACTCTCTCACTACAGGTCCCACATCTAGTCCATTGACACAGATCCCACCCTTAGCCATAACTTAAATACTTGTAAAAACCCATGAATTTATCTCCACAAGAAATTTCATTATCACCATATGGTGTGGGCATTCCCCATGTCACAATATATTGTGCGCTTATATGTACATGGTACAATCAATGGTAACAAAGGGAGATTAACCATTATTATTAACATCACAAATCAATTAAATATTCAAGCCCTTCAAGAAAGAAAGAAAGCTTTCTTAATGGTAAGCAAGGGGAAACAAATAACATAGAAATTAATTATGAAAGAATGCAAGAAAGAGAGAATATGTCCTTAAAAAACTCGCACTGATGCTTGGCAAGGTACTGCTTAACAACATCTATGAGAAGTTGTACCGCATCTAACGTTTTATAAGGAAATTCTAAATACAATGAGGCGCATGCTGGTGTCATTGGGAGATTATTCAGCAATAAGCTACATTGGTGAATACATGAAACAACATCAAATTTGTCAACAATCACCATCAGGTTCATTAGAAGTTCCGGAGTACTTGTTGATAGTGAACCACGGTACATAAACTTTTGTAGCTCCGGAGTACTTGTTGATAGTGAACCAATGTACATAAAAGTCCATTAATGTAAGTTGATTTTCTTGGACATGATGTTTCCTCCCCTGCCCTCTCCCGCCTCCTTCACCCTCCCCTATTCTCCATCCCCCAGGAATCCTCCTGCAACCTTGCTCGAATCTACAGTTCCTCTTTAGTGGTCGTCTTTCATCCTCAGAGAGATGACCGCAAAGGAATCGAAAGCTAGGCCAAAGAGATTTGGAAAGAACCAGCACTCAAGTGCAAGCAACTCTTCAATGGGTCTTTCCTTTTCTCATTCCCCTCAGAAGAAGCAATTGTTCTCGCCCTGAGAACCACTTACAACATTCGGTTCCAAGGGGCCTCATTTCAGTTGTCCACGTGAACCACTAACTTGGGACCTTTCACCGGCAAAAGGTTTGGCTTACGGCCTCCTCTATCCCTCTACATGCTTGGTGCCTTTACTCCTTCAAGGGCATTGGTAACTCTTGCGGGTCCTTTGTGACAATCCACTGGAAGTCCCTGGAAAATCAGCCTCTTGGCACTTTGCTGCTCATCATTGACATGCTTGAACCGCATCGTATCCCTCCCTTCCTTTGGTTGGAATCCGCAGGAGCTTACTACCAAGTTCTCCTTTCCTGGTCTTTTGCCTCACTACCCACTCCCAGCTTCGTCGCTTTGGCAACCAATTCAAAACTGTCGACTACTCCTGCTAATAAGGAGAAATGGAAGCTTGTTGTTGGGAGAAGACCAAACCGCATATAGGGCTGACGAAACAATCGCCACCCTCGTCCACCCCCTCCCAAAGGCTACCCACCTGCGCGCCACCCTCCTCCACCCCACCACCACCCCCTCCAACCCTACCGTCTCTCATTGTCCATATGGATGGTGCCGACTCCTCGAGCATGAGAACCCATGCCCCTCATTCCACCTATACCTCGGTCAACACCGCTCAGGTCGACACACGACACTCTTTGATTTTCTTGGGCCGAGATGGGCTGGCAACCTCATTTAATACCCCCACTCTTCAGCTGCTTCCCATTGATGACATAGCCATCCTTCCTCCTCCAAAGGACACCTTTACCTCCCCACCAAATTCTGCGTCGATATCCTCCCCTTCCCTTTGCCGGCTAGGCACACTCAACACCTGTCCCTCTCCCTCACCTATCACCACCACCTGTAAACATACTTCTTCCTCACCACTTCCCCAAAACTCCAATCCTTCTACTACTCCTTCTCCCCTTCGCCCAATACTCTTTGAGACAGTTCCCCCTCTCCATGTACTTCAACTCACCATCCCACCCTCGCTCTTTGTCCACGTCGTCGACCATTGCGTCTTCCCAACACGAGCCACCCCTACCTACACAGCTCAGCCTCGACATTCCCACGTCATCATTCCCTCCCCCCAGCCTACCTCAAAGGTTACACCACCTCAATCGTCACCCTACTTGCTTGGTCCTTTCCTCTCCCCTTTTCTTGCTGGACTTTGAGGTGGCGCATCTCCCTTGGAGTAGCTAGTTGGTGGGGCCTCATCCTCGTCATTCCGGGGACCTGGTTGAGTCTAGCGCGAGGACGCTCTCTCGAAAAACCGTAAGCCCATGCCTGTGTGCATGCGTGTGTATGCGGATAGGTATCAACTGTCACGACCCCGCCTCCTAACCCCTACCGTACCAGCCAAAGGGCGACAGAGTGCAAAATCACGACCAGAGGTCTCGAACGTCACTCAAGTGAGAGTGGCTCAACTCGTTTAGAAATACGGAATCAAAGCAAACCACAAAATAAATAAAAATCATTCATCAAGCAACATAATACCGCACAAATTAAAACCATTATGTACATATAAAATCTCCAAAGGTTCTTTACAATTTTGTACAAGGCACTACTGGCCCGACAATAACAAGACAATATTACAATAAAACAACATTGTGGCATCGCTACCTGACACCTTACTATCAAAAAGTTCCTTTATCAGTCCCGAGCTTCAGCTGCCTGCCACCACTATTCAGTTGCCTCTTAAAGAATGGTCGGTTATCACTCTACACAGATGGAAAAATAAGAAGAATGACCTAAAAGCTCAGTAAGTAGATTAGTTCCCTTGCATTTCCACCTGCATGCATATACATAATAACATGGTCTACGGTTCACCAAATATCATACTGGCATCACAGAGTAGGATAGTGGATCATAATATATATATTTGTCATTTAAAGAGAGTAATATTTAGATATCAGAGTATCAATTGTTCTTGAGATGGCAAATACATCTATGCTTATCACAGTTACAGTCAGATGTTCACACAGAATGCCTAATTTAGAAAGGCAGAACAGATCTATTTACTCTCGATGTAGAAGTCACATCGATCAAGCTAAGTCAATCCTACAACTTGGAACTTTTACCCTCAATCAGGAAGGAGGACATTGACAAATGGAGGTCTCATTTCGTAAGTCCTCACTCACGCACACAATCCCCAACGTGCTTTGGGGTGTTTGCTAGGTTGTAGCCTTGTAAGACACGACCTTGTCCTTACGTCTTCTGGCGAGAGGGTGTTACACTACTATTGGAGGCCCCCAATGCATAGTGCCCATAATAATTTTGGGGGGTGCGATCCTCCCTATCATTCATAGTCTCTTCTCGACTCCACTCCTATCATAAGAGTCGAGATACAATATACCCAACTACCAATGGAGGACCCATTGCGCAGTGGTCATAGCACATATAACAGTTTCAATATAACATAATCATAGTACCTACTACCAATGGAGGACCCATTGCATATCGGTCATGGCACTTATAACAGTTTCAATATAACAAAATTACAGTATCCACTACCAAGGCAGGACCCATTACGTAGCAGTCATGGCACATATAACAGTTTCAATATAACAGAATCACAGTATCTACTACCAATGGAGGACCAATTGCATAGCGGTCATGGCACATATAACAGTTTCAATATAACATAAGTATGACATTAATTAGTGATGCCATATGACAATATCATATTTTCAGTATCACATTGTCCTGTAATTTCAGACAGTGATGTCCAAACATAAATCGGGTCATAATATTAAATCCATTTTGAATTCGAAAATAGTTCCAAAACACATGCATATCTTTCAAATGAAGGTAGTTTAATTCAAACGCTCATTAGAAGGGAGGTATCCCATCTGAAACCTGTTGTGCAATTAGGACAGTAACATGTCCTTCTTAGCACAATTATAACTTTCAATCCATAAGGCATTTTGAAGTCTTTCCAAAACAAAGATTCGAGTAAAAATATGTATCTTTCAAACAGGGGAATTTTAAGAATATTTGGACTTCATTTGGGCATTTAAAAGTTCTTGTTAACCAAAGTAATGATTCTAGATTTTATGATATCTGTCCACAGTGACATATCTTCGCAAATAATTGTATAACTTTCAATCTAGGAGGAATTGTGAAATGTGTTCAACATGTGATTTTAAGAATGCTCATAGATATTTCAAATGGTAGTGATTTAGAAGAAAAAGGACCCCATTTGTTCTGTCAAAATTCGTGACAACAAAGACATCAGTTCTAAAATTTTACTAAATTGGTCAACAATGACCTAGTTGCACATTTTGAATCATACCTCTTCATGCATAAAGAATTTGAGCAAGAATTCAAGCATAAAAATTTTAATAGACATAGATATATTTCCAATGGCAGTGATTTGAGGTCATTTGGACCTTATTTGATAGGACAAAAGTAGATTACAAAAACATCGAACCTTTCTAGAAATTATTGTGCAGTTATAACATTATTCAAAATGACAACCAATTAATTCCAAATTATGCTACATCTTAACATAAAACCTTTATTATTGACCTTTAGACACATATAAAGACTTAATCACAGTTTTTCCATGAAAAGCAAAGAAGATTTGGTACTCATTTTAGGCATGCAGAGGTAAGCTAAAGTGCTGAAAATCATGGTATAACAGTATACACATACATCCACTATTCATGCATCTACTCATGCTCATTATTACACTTAATTAATGCTAAATCCATGCTTAATGATCGACAAGATAGTTGACCTACTTACCTTGTGTGTGCAATGGTGTTCCCAGATTTCCTCCCACAACTCACTCCTCAAGCTCCTCGATTTGGGCTCCAACAAAGGTTAGAAAGGGGGCTGAAAGCGCTAAGTGTTTTGGCTTGTAAGAGTAAGAACATGGCGTGAGGGAAAGAGAGAGAGGCTTATGTACTCCAAAAGTGTGAGATGGCAACTCGGGTTGCCATGTGGCAATTCAATCACATGCAGTTTGACAAGTGGCAGCTATGGCACCATGCAATAAGCAAGTGGCATCCATGAGTCATGCATAGGTTTGGCGGTGTTGCGCACGGCGACACTCTTTTCTGCTTCTTCTCACTGCAGAGCTCGTCTCTCTCTCTTCTTCTCTCTCTTACCACCACGCGCACTTTCTTTTCTTCTTCTCTCTTATCGTCGTGCACACTTTCTCTTCCTCTTCTCTCTTACTGCCTTGCACACTTTGTCGCACGCACTTTCTCTTCCTCTTCTCTCTTACTGTTGCGCACACTTTCTCTTCTTCTTCTCTCTTACCACCTCGCGCACTTTCTCTGCTCAGGAAAGTCTGGGTCGTTACATCTTCCCCCCCTTAAATTGGATTTTGTCCTCAAAATCGTGCCTTAGTTAGTTAAACAACTGGAGGTACTTATCCCAGATTTCATTTTCTCGTTCGCATGGCAATTCTTCCATTGAGTGATATTGTCATAACACACGGACTAGAGGAATTTTTTATTTCGTAACACCTGCACTTTCTTGTCCAGTATTTCAATTGTCATTCAATATAAGTCATGTCTTCTCTGATCAGAATTGGCTCATACTTTAAAACATGGGACGGGTCTGGCTGATATTTTCTTAACAGTGATACATGAAACACGTCAGGTGGTAGGGCAAGTTGATAAGCCATACTTCCAACTCTTTTCAAAATTTTAAATGGTCTAATGAATCGTGGGCTCAATTTTCCTTTCTTTCCGAATCTTATAATACCCTTAGTTGGTGATACCTTCAAGAAAATTCGATCACCTACCTCAAACTCAAGGTCTCTCCTTCGATTATCAGTGTAACTCTTCTGCCGACTCTGAGCAGTCTTGAATCTCTCTCGAATCAAAGTAAGCTTTTCTGAGGTCGTTTGAACAATTTCTGGTCCTAACAGCCTCCTTTCACCAACCTCATCTTAACTGATAGGTGATCTACACTTCCTCCCATACAACACCTTAAAAGGTTTCATTTGAATACTGGCTTGGAAGCTATTATTATAAGCAAATTCTATCAGAGGTAGATAGTCATCCCAACTTCCTTTGAAATCAATAACAAAGGCCCTTAACATATCCTCTAGGGTCTGAATGGTCCTTTCTGACTGCTCATCAATCTGAAGGTGGAGAGCAATGCTAAAAATGAGTCGTGTCCCCAAAGCTGATTGCAGACTATTCCAAAATCTTGAAGTAAATCTAGTGTCCCTGTCAGACACGATACTGACAAGTATTCCATGCAACCTTACAATTTCTTTAATGTATAACTGGGCCAATTTATTCAAAGTATAAGTTGTGCGAACCTGTAAGAATGAGAAGCTTTAGTCAGTCGGTCCACAATGACCCAAATACTATTATGCTCAACACCTGTTCTTGGCAAGCCAGAGACAAAGTCCATAGTAATGTGTTCTCATTTCCACTCTGGCATGGGCAAGGGTTGCAACAGTCCAGTGGGTTTCTGATGTTCAGCATTTACTTGCTGACATGTCAAGTACTTTAAGACAAACTATGCCACTTCCTTTTTCATATCATTTCACTAAAAAGTCTTCTTGAAGTCCTGATACATCTTAGTACTCCCTAGGTGTACAGTATAACAAGAGTAGTTTGCTTCCTCCAAAATAGCCCGCTTCACACTCTCATCATATGAAACACATACCAGATCTTTAATTCTTAACAGATCATCACTGCTTACAGAAAAATGAACATTTCTTCCCAGCTTTATTTCTTCTAGGATTTTCATGAGTTGGGGATCTTCCTTTTGTGCCATTCGAATCTATTGAAAGAGCTGGGGCTCCATCCTCATACAAGTAATCATTCCTAGATCATCACTAAGGGGCATGGTTGGGTGCCACTCCACTGCATCTTCTAATAGTTTCATTTCTCGAACCAGCAAATGTGTCATTGATACCATGGGCTTTCGGCTCATAGCATATACTACTACATTGGTCTTGCCCCTGTTGGTAATTGATGGTACAGTCATATCAGTAGGTCCATCCATCTTCTTTGCCTCATGTTTAACTTCGTTTGAGAAAATA